AATTGATTTATTTTTTAATGTATTTTTCCCCCTTACCTCCCATCAATGTTGGTAAGATGCTCTGCACCTGTACATCAACTGTGGGTCCTCCCTTTCACAGATCCTAGTAGATGCTTGAGCAATTACACATTTTACGTAATACAGCGTTGATGGAGCACCATGTATGCTTAGGTACATTCAGAAATAAGGGCTTCAAGCTCAAAGACGCCCAGGTTCCCCTGCAGTCCTGCTCAGTTTGCAGGGTTGTTATGATTGTACATTATGCAGCAGTGGCTATCTCCCACTGACCAAAGTAACTGCTTGAGATGCATGCATGCATCAGTCTGCCTGCATTTGCCTGTTGGAGTAGCCAATTCCCTGACACTGTGCACTTGCCTCAGGCTCCAAGTACAGATAATGGGTCACTGTGTCAGACAGCGTGAGGTAGAATATCCTCAAGGATGTTGGGTGTATTATGCTGGATTGCAGCCATAAAAATTGTCCTCCCTTAGCTGGAAAATGCAGAGTACAAACAAACGCGGGAAAACAACAACAAAAAAAAAAGCATGAAAGAGAATTTATAATTCAGACAATGTAAACAAATTTGTTAATCGTGTATAATTTTAAAACGTGGTTCAAAATATCCCTTGGGGTGGGAGATTTTTATCCAGTTAATCCTAATAATTGCGCGAGAGTGTTGTTAATAGATGAATAGCGCTTCATTGATTTGAATGTTCATGCTCATTTGTATTCTCCATCCATTTTAAGGATGTACTCATTCTCAGATGTATCAGGATTTTCAAGTCATCCTGCAGAGCGCAAATATATTAGTGCTGCTTGTGGGGCTCGTAGTAGCAGACTCTCATTTTTGAGGATGAATTCAAACCCGTGTTTCTGATTTGATTGCAGTTTTGGTCCTGGAAAAACTCCTTCAACTAGCTCTCAGATCGCAAGCGTTTCTGTGCCTCAAACGATGCTGATTGAAATGAGGAGAAACTCTTTGACGAGTGCTTGAAAACACAATTTGAAAAATGAGAAAAGCCTTTTCTCGTGACTGATGCTGCAGGATGTAGTCGCCGTTAAAATGAATCAACACATTATGTAAGAATGATCGCTGTCTTTAAAATATCATTAACTCTCTGCATATCCATCTGCCGTGCTTTTGGCCAGATAGGGAAGTGGGGGTGGGGGGGAAGCCAGAGGAAGGAGGGGGACGGCTGATTGGTGGTGATTTACAAACACTGTGTTCTCTGGTTACCTTTTCCCAGGCTGAAGCTGCAGAACAGGCTGGTTACACATTATTTTTTCATGCCCGCATTTAGTTTGAGGTTTTCTTACATGTGTGTGCACACACTCAAAGCCAGCCAGCACTCCCCTCTCTTCTCTCACACTCCGAATCACACACACACAAAAAACATAAGCGCGCGCGCACACACACACACACACACACCCTCTGCATGCATTCACACACCCAGGCTCTCCTTGGCTACTGAACTGCCATTGCAGTGAGATCACCACTTTAGGAACAAGGCAGCTAGGTTTAAGAGCCCAGTCTTAACAATCCTGAATATCTTATAAACCCCTTTTTTATACTATTCAGCAATCACACAAGCTATAAATGTAGACAAATGAAACACAAGCTATGTACCTGCCTAGCTTGGACTACATTTGCATTCTTGTTGCCAAATTTTCGAGTGTCTTTTCTGTACCTCCCCCTCATGAATTACTTCAGGTTTTTATGGTTCCTCCCTATAAGCTTTCAGCGGCTTCACGCATGAGCTAAGTTGTGAGGAAAGAATCACAAATCATTGGTCAGATCACAGTGTGGTGTCCAGCAGGCATCTTACCTGCAGTGCACATTGATGTGCTAATCATGCACATGTGTTGTATAAGCTCAGACTTTGGTTGCCTGTCGGACGTTTCAAGGCACAGAGTCTGTAACGATTAAAAACTAAGGTAGGAATCCGTATCGATCAGAAGTCCATGGCTGCCAGTGCAGATGTGCTGCTCGTTATTGAGCATTTCTCTAGTCGTAGGCAAATGTTGCTTCCACTTTCTTTCTTT